ATTTTTTGCATATCCCCGGGTCCTGCATTTTTTGCATCATCGGGGGGGGGGGTCTACCTCGTATTTTTTTCTCGGTGATATGAATTTAGTGTGTAAAGCCCCCTTTTTTTGCTGCATTTTTTCGGGGGTGATATGAAATGAGTGGGTGCAGCCCCCCTTTTTTGCTGCATTTTTTCGGGGAGGGGTCAATTTCAATTAGAGAAATTGGGGGGAGGTCCAGAAAAATGGTCTGTTCAGACTACTCTGCTGCTGGGGGATTAGTCCTTACATGAACACATACAAAGCATGATGATTTGCAACATGAGGAGCTGTTATGGGTGTTCATGTATTTGATTTGGGCCACATTTTAGAAACTACATTTTAGAAACCTACTCAAGTAATGTTGATTAAAAATACTGATTGAAAAGCATATAAACAAATACATGTACTTATTTTTATGACCCAGTCAACAATGAAATTATACCAAATACACCATAGAACTAGAAAATCCTATATCTAAAAGCCTTAGGTCAAAACAACAACTTTGCTGGAGCAACATTTTAAATCCTGTAGAATATATCATGATTACTATGAATTCACTATAATTAATTTGGGAACATTTTGCTGTGAACTCACTATAACTCATCAGGGTACAGATTACTGTGAACTCACTATAACTCATCAGGGTGCAGATTACTGTGAACTCACTATAACTCATCAGGGCACAGATTACTGTGAACTCAGTATACTCATCAGGGTACAGATTACTGTGAACTCACTATAACTCATCAGGGTGTGGATTACTGTGAACTCACTATAACTCAACAGGGCACAGATTACTCTGAACCCACTATAACTCATCAGGGTACAGATTACTGTGAACTCACTATAACTCATCAGAGCACAGATTACTGTGAACTCAGTATAGCTCATCAGGGTACAGATTACTGTGAACTCACTATAACTCATCAGGGTGCGGATTACTGTGAACTCACTATAACTCATCTGGTACAGATTACTCAGAAGTCATTATATTTCATCAGGGTGCAGACTACTGTGAACCCATTATAACTCATCAGGGTAAGGATTACTGTGAACCCACTATAACTCATCAGGTACAGAATACTGTGAACTCACTATAACTCATCAGGGTAAGGATTACTGTGAACTCACTATAACTCATCAGGGTAAGGATTACTGTGAACCCACTATAACTAATCAGGGCAAAGATAACTGTGAGCTCACTATAACTCATCAGAGTACAGATTACTGTGAACCCACTATAACTCATCAGGGCACAAATTACTGTAAATTCAGTATAACTCATCAGGGTACAGATTACTGTGAACTCATTATATTTCATCAGGGTGCAGACTATTGTGAACGCACTATAACTCATCAGGGTAAGGATTACTGTGAACCAACTATAACTCATCAGGGCACAGATTACTGTGAACTCACTATAACTCATCAGGGCACAGATTACTGTGAACTCAGTATAACTCATCAGGGCACAGATTACTGTGAACTCAGTATAACTCATCAGGGCACAGATTACTGTGAACTCAGTATAACTCATCAGGGCACAGATAACTATGAACTCACTATAACTCATCAGGGCACAGATTACTGTGAACTCACTATAACTCATCAGGGTAAGGATTACTGTGAACTCACTATAACTCACCAGGGTAAGGATTACTGTGAACTCACTATAACTCACCAGGGCACAGATTACTGTGAACTCAGTATAACTCATCAGGGCACAGATAACTATGAACTCACTATAACTCATCAGGGTACAGATTACTGTGAACTCAGTATATATCATCAGGCACAGATTACTGTTAAGATGACTTAGATATTATCATTCAAGGCAATTCAACACTTGTCTCTTTCATCTCATACTGAAAAAGCTCTATCAAGATAGTAAGAAAAGGTCACAGCATTTGAAAAAATAAAATACAAAAAAAATATATCCAGATATATATTGTTAAAATATTTTTAAAAATATTTTAAAAATATATTACAAAAAATCAAAGAAATATCCTTTAGTATATACCTTTTTGTACTTGATGTTCTTTACCTATGCAAATTTGCCCAATGGATTCTTCTGAAAAGGATTCTTAACCCTAACTATTGTCAGTCAGTAAATTCATAGGTGCAAGTGTAGTTGTTTATCTCTGATGGACTTAACCTTGTAATCACATCTATGACCATATGTATAAACTGCCCTAAGGTGATAGTTTCAACTAGCAATAAACATGGCTGTTTATATAGATTCTAGACATAACATGGTATCAAGGAAGGGCCACCCTTGGTTAACTAAGATTTCTAAAAATTGTTTTGCTTTTTTAAAAACAATTATATCACTGAATTTGGGACTCAAATAATGTGCTTTTCATATGATATGCTATATTTGGTGGTTATAGTTGGTAGTTACTCCAAACTCAACATTATAAATATTTTAAAAAATAGTTCAGACTATGGAGATTGTTATGGCTCCCATTCCAAAAAAAAAAATTAAGTTTAGATGAATGTATGTCATTAATCTTAAGTCTAAAAAACTGAGATCCACAAAATAAAAAAAATGTTACTGTACTTGTTGATATATCTCAAGCATTATACCTCAAGGTCAAGCACTTTCCTACTAATCTACCATATAGATTTTTATTTTAAAAAAGTTCTGAAATGTCAAAATATCCAAAAATAACATATTAATATCAGAATCTCAAGTAAAATGAAATTGAAATGAATATTCTTCCATAATTAAAATCATGAAATACTCTGATATGAATGATTTGGCTATGGAAACATGGCCACTCAATACAATGTAGTGAATCTATCACTGGCACAATAATAGCCACACCTACTTATTAGGTACCACAGCATACAAAATCATATTATCATATATGATTAATTTAACAGTGAGAGCAATAGGAACTAGTAGAAAGACTAAGAGTCTCTCTCTCTCTCTCTCTCTCTCTCTCTCTCTCTCTCTCTCTCTCTCACACACACACACACACACACACACACACACACAAACACACTCTGATGTGATGAGTTCATCAGATGAAGATGTTTTTGGAAGAAACACCATGTCAGTATAACTTTCCATTGTTAAGTAGTGACATTAAGATTTTCAAGATAGTTACTATTGTAGGATGCTCAGCACCATTTTAAGGAGCAATTATCATCATATGAAATCTTTTGGTAAAAATCCCATGCCCTGTATGGAGAATGTTGAATGTTTCAAAACTTGTCAGCTTTTTTTCTGCTAATTTATTTAAGAATATAAGAATACACACACATATCTATATATATGATTTAGTTTGCATCTCAATGAACTGCTTTTGTATCATTCATTTCCATAGCTACTGTAATCCATAAATAAATTTCTTTTGATGAACAAAATATTTTCCTCTCAACTTGAATACTGATCATAACCTAACCTTATCAATTCTAATAATAAACAGCAACTGTTAAATAATTGTATGCATATTAATGTTGGTCATAATGAGAGAGCAAAATGTTTTCTATATACATACAGGCAATATTCGAAATGGATCAACAAGCTGACATGGTTGCATGCTTCATTTAATTTCAAACTGTCTAGTGAATATAAAGTATATATTATTAACTTTTTTTATCTTCTTTCCCTTGTAATTTTAAATAAATTATGTTTTCCTTCTGTGATGATGATTTTGAAGGCATCATAAAGAGATGCACATTACCTAGTTTAATTCAGGCAACTCTGGGTTGAGCATAGTACCTGTATAATAGGTACTAAAGGATGTGGGGTTTTTTTTTACATAAATTAGTTAAACTGGTTCCCCACAACATTTTATAAACAAGACTAATGCCTGCATAAAATGTCCTACCTCAGTGTCAGCCTAATTTTTGAAATGTCATTTCTGTGTTTTAAGTGATTACATTTTTTAATACAAGAAAGTCTATAAATTTACTATCAAAATGCAAGATCTACTCCTTAGCATTACTTTCATGTTACCTTGTGCAAACTATTTTCAAAGGAATTTTAAGTAAAAAGCCTTTTTTAAACTTGCAGAAGTCCTATTGGCATTTTGTACTCACACTTTGAGCTATACACATCATATTTGAGAATTTGGAAGCATAAACTTTTAAATGATGATTATTTGTTGTTGTTGTTGTTGTTGTTGTTGTTGTTGTTGTTGTTGTTGGGCTTAATGCCATTTTTCAGCACACAATAGGCTATTCATGGTGGCCAGTATTAATGGTAAAGGAAGAAACCAGGGAAAACACAGGAAGACAGAGGTGAGATGGCAGTGATGCGTAACGGACAGCTCTTTAGACCACTGGCCACAATATCACTTGCAAGATTATATAAGTGCTCTAAAAAATAATCCAAAAATTCAATGTTAAAGTACTTGGAGATTTTAGTATGAAGCCAACAAAATGGAGTGATCCATCGGATACTAGATTGAATGTGGAGTGCTATAATGTCACACACACACACACACACACACACACACACACACACACACACACACACACACACACACACACACACACACACACACACACACACACACAAACACACACACACACACACACACACACACACACACACACACTGAGCATTCACAATGATTTGACCAAATAAGTTCTTTCATGGTTTCCTGCTGCCTCTGTAGAAGTCCGTTGTGACTGACACTTGTCAACTGGATGTTTTCTGATGATGTCTAAGGTGTCAATCATTCAACAATCAGATATATGTGTGTGTGTGTGTGTATGTGTTTGTGTGTGTGTGATTTGTATTTTTAATGTATCGTTAACAATTTTTCAGTCATATCACTATGATGTCTGCAGTGTGGCAGTTTATAGTGATGTCTAGCATTGGTGCATCATGCTGCAGACATGTAGCATTTTGTCTCACCCAGTCACATTATCCTGACACCAGGCCAACCAGTCCTAACACTAACCTCTTAATGCTGAGCGTCAAGCGAGGCAGCTGTTAGTATAATTTTTTTAAGTCTATGGTATGACTTGGCTGGGGATCAAACCCACAACCTCCCACATCTAAGACGGATGCTCTAACCACTAAGCCACCAGAGCGGTCTAAATCAGGATGAACAGAGTCAATTAAAACTATAGTAGTATCATAGTTCAAAACAAAATTAGTATTTTATTTACAATCAATAAAGGTGCCAACATTATTTACACCAGAGCCCCTTTTTTAAAGAGTGCACGTTTCTGTACAAAATTTTCATAAGTTTAAAGTGCAAGAAAATCTTATGCTATATTTTAAGTGCATTCATAAGATATCCATAAGCTAGTCTTTTATAATTGGTAGGTAGATAATTACTCACTTATCCAACATTGATCTGTATTTCTCTGGGCATGCTGTCCCTTGGTTAAACATAAAGTTCTAAATCAGTCAAAACCTGGTTTGAGATTTTCTGCTTTTTTTCCAACACTCAAGCCTGTTCTGATTTCATTAAAAATTTCTGGCTGATGAAACATTTTAAAAGCATACTCTATATTGATATATGCATCATCAGAACAAGCAAGTGGCACAAATGTACTCTGGATTACTATGTAGGCATTTGCTAAAGCTATTCATTTATCCTCCCAGTATATGACTTACTAAAATTTTAACCCAACTGTAAGTATGTGTAACTACATGAAACAAAAATAGAGTTTTCATATTGTAAAGTGAAAATTGTACTGATTTGCTAAAAAGGAGTGATGTATTGCCCTCTTTTTTCACTTGATCCCCAAGTGTCAAAAGTCTACATAAAGGTCTGAACTAATGGCGATGCTGTTGCCTCCAAGAATATGATACCTATTTCTATCATTTCCTCAAAACTGTGCTGAAGTGTGAGAAAGCTATATAATTACCCACCCATCCACCCCAGTGGTTTTTTCATGAAAGTGATGTTATCTTGATCCAAAGGATGCAGATTACAGCAAGTTGCAGCATGATGCTCCAAGTCACATAACAGGATACAGAAATGTCAAAATAATGATCAGTTGCTATGCATTGTTCTGTAGTAGGAAACCCCAACCTCAGGATCAGAGACACACTCTTTGCAGGCAGACATGAAGCTTTGTTTATGATTCACTTCATTGAACTGCATAAGACTGATTCTGTTAGTCTTGTATACAACCTGTTATTGCAAGAAAGACATAAAAATTGATCATTTATAAGGAAAGGAGGCAAGCTACACTATATAGGTGGCTAACTCCAGTATGGATAGTTTTCTAAATCAGACACTTAAGTTTTCTAAATCAGACACTTAAGTAAATGATTATAGTATAAAAACAATATCAGTATGTACAATTAGGTAAGCAGATGCACAAAAAAACAAGAAATGTCACAATCCTTAAGAAGATTTTAGCTAGATAAGTATGATCATTTCCATGCCCACATATCAGTCAGCTTACCTCAGACCATGGCCTTCTCCAGGAGAAATTGTATCTCTTATACAGCACCAATATGTTAGAGAAATCTGACAGAAATAGTGAGCATGCAGTTGTAGAACTTTAAATCACTACTTGCACAGTGTCATTGTCACACCTCTCAACACAATTGTCAAGTCCCATCTACCTGTCTTCATTAAACCTGCCATCCTTTCAGGTTAATGACTATATAACACTTAAAGGTAAAGAGCTGGTAAAACTGCCTGAACTCCAGTAATAGTTAATGTTGACAGCACTGAGGGAATAAAATGTGCCCTTTCTGATCACTCACTCCTATCCACCTTGAGTCTTAGGTCCTGTGAATAAAAGACCAGTGGAGCATGATAGGTATAAAGGGGAGTGGATTTCAAAGTGGAAGCCTAAGCCCACTGTGGCCAATACACCAGCTGTAATTACAAAGAATTTTACTGCCACATAACTAGACACTATTAATAGTGACAGCTTGATTAACAGATATTGCTTTTTTTAAATATGAATAACCATATGATGAATTTAGAATACACTGGTTCCTCACTTTAAAACAATTCATTATACTGCTGCCCCTCTTGTAATGCAGGTATGACCAGGTATATCATTGAACTGATCAAATTTTGTTTAATTATAACCTCTAATAATTTATTTCACTTTATGTTAGTTTTGGGTTCATGAGACCCAATTATAATATGCTTTTAAAGCATTAAACACTCAGCTTCTGTTTTTGAATGCACTATCAGGTAACAGCATTGCTGGGACATCCCCAAATATAAGTCCTCCATAATTCCTCAGTTGTCATTTGATATAAGTATTTAAGTTAAACTATGTAAATGTTTATTTGAAAGCAGGTTGAGACAAATCACCATTGCTGACAAGTAAATATTTCATTCCGACATTCTTAAATATATATTTTGGTATTCTCTGTTGGAGAAGTTAAGAAATTTCCCATAATTTGCTTTTAAATAATGTAAAATCTTACACAGTAATGTAAAAAAGTAATCATTGCACAATAAATTTTTAATGAAGTTAAGAGATAACTGAAAAGGACAAAACAGTGATTTCTCAAGTTGAACTATTCTAAAAATAGGCATAAATATATTCTGTCATGCATTAGAAACAAAACGATGTTCACAATAGGAAATAAAAATTGTGCTTATTAAAATCTAACATAAAAAGTGGAAAATACATACTGAAGGGATAAAAATTCTTTTGAAGAAACAGAACTATGCTGTTATTTTACATCAATTAAGATGAAATGTTCATTCGTTTCATAGGAATTAATGTTTCTCAGGTGATAATTTCAGTAATAAGTGTTCCAAGCTCAAGACTCTTAAAGGACTGAAATTACATCAAGGAAACAATGTCTTGGGTTTTTTTTCAGTTACAATGAGGATAACTTCTAAAAAAGGATGTCTTTCCTACAAAATAATTTTCATTATCAACCAATCCTGGCCACCCAAACCCATATATACTCTATTTTATGTTCACCCATTTCCAGGCTGGCTCCCATTTTTCCATACAATTAGTATTGTGTGTCCTGCAGGGCAAGTTAATACTGTCTGCATCCTGGAAGGGCAAGGGGGAAGAGGCAGTTCAATTTTCTTAATTATGTTTATTTCACTGAGAGGGGCAGCTGCTGGCCATTGGAAATATGTGATAAGTCAGACCCTTAAATATGTAAGGTTATATGAAGGGAGAATCCTAATAGTGTCCAAGGTGTGATTTGGGATTTAATATTCTTCTGATGGTAAGGATGAATATCTTTATCAGTTGCATTGATGTCAATGTCCATGTCCCTCTGGGTACAGACAGACAGACAACATGGCTTAATGCCTGTTACAGTTATAAATTCCTTTTTCTGTCTAGTATACAGTATATGGTTATAGTGTAGAAATAGAATGACTTAACCACATACAAATAATGGATTCAGGGTGTGCTATTATAATCCATAATACCGACCAATCCCTGGAGCTTTTGTATCTAGCTGATTTCTAATTTTCGTATTATGACCACAGAACAAAGTACTTTGGGAGTAGAGAGGATGTAGGAAAATCTCAGAGAAGTCATATTTTTATTGATAACCCAAGTGTCAACACATTTCAGAATGAAAACTCTGGGGTCTTACTCTTACCATTTCCCCCTTTAACCTAATAAAGGATCATTGCACATTGCACCTACTAGTGTTTTTCTTTTACAATGTCATTAACTATTGTTTTCTGTCTCCATTACAAGAACTACTCAGCTGATGTGATGAATGTTCTAGCATTTTCTGCTAGGAACATAATTTTGAAGCAGCAGGTTTTTTTTAATACAAGTATTTTGTTGTTGTTGTTGTTGTTGTTGGGCTTAATATCATTTTTCAGCACATGATAGGCTATTCATGGCGTCCAGTATTAATGGTGGAGGAAGAAACCGGGAAATCACCAGAAAGAACCACCGACCCACGATAAGCTACTGGCAAGCTTTCTCTCATATCCACATTTGCAGAATTCTAGACTGAACCTATATAGTGTAGCTTGCCTTGAAGACAGAGGTGAGATAGCAGTGAGATGGCAGTGATCCGTAACAGACATCACTTTATTTTGTGACTGAGGTGAAAACTCAGTCTTGATCCTTCATGAAATCATCAAGTTTATCTTGTATTGACGGTATTATGTGCACAGATTATGGTCTAAACATATTGTTGTGTGGCTGATCTTAAAATAATTCAATGTATATATGTTGATTATTTATGTATAGTGACCTTAATTTTATTTCAAAAGTGTAATGTGCCTTGAGGAAAAGATAGTAATGCACCATGCTGAAGCTATGTCCTTGTCAGAGACACAGATTCAACAATTTTAAGTATTTAGGGGGAAAGAGTTTGGGGAATTTAAGTGAGAGATGGTAACTGGGATTTTCAAACCAAAATATTTTGGTCTCTTACTCAAGATAATTTATTTTTTCTTTTGATATAATAGATTATTTTTTCACTACAAAAACAGAGCAAGAAATACATTTTTTCAAGCTATTTGGGGGCCAGAATATTTTTCAAAAAAAATCCCATGCCCTCACCCAGAAAATTTAATGGTCAATTTTTTAGGATGGCAAACAAAAAGAGCCGACTATCAATAGGATTATCCTTTTTGATTTCATGCAAGAAAAAATTATCGTAGATTTAAATAATAGCTGTTCTTAACTACCTTCAAGTCTGTGGTAATTTCATTATTTAAACAAAATGACAATATTCCTAATTTTTGTATTATATAATCGCAGAAACAGCATTGGAATAAAATGTGCAGGTTGCTGACATTGTTCTTTTAGATTTAATGACTTTTTCAGCACTTGATAGGCTATACATGGTGGCCATTATAAATGATGGAGGATGAACCTAGGAAAAACCCTAGTGGAAGCCATGAACTCACAGGAAGCTACTAGCAAGTTTTACTCACATTGGTGGAGCCCAAGACTAGAACCCATGCAGACAGTGATGGGATGACAGTGATCAGTAAAAGCAAGCACTTCAGACCACTCAGCTACCAAGGGCTCCAAATATGCAGGTATTCACTTAGGGCTTGCTCAAACATCATAAGGCAAGCACTTCAGACCACTCAGCTACCAAGGGCTCCAAATATGCAGGTATTCACTTAGGGCTTGTTCAAACATCATAAGGCAAGCACTTCA